AACCAAAGAGATCCGATCAAAAACCCTACCGCCTTCCCTTAGCAGGGCGAAGTGAGTGGGAAATGAGTGTAACTTAAACCTTGTATGGCAAACAACCTGTGCCGGTTTTGTGGGTAAACGAGCGAGACTGAGAGAGCTAAGTGCAAATGAGGTAGCAATCAATACGCGTCCACCTACAACCGGTCGAATCAATTAATGGTCTGTTTAAACTCCAATTGATCATTATTTAAACAAATATATATATAATTTATAAAATTCTCCTCATATTGTTATCATCTTTAGAGTTTAAAGAGTATTAAATATCAATCACAATTTTAATAGTAGAGAGAGAGAGAGAGAGTCGGCCTAATAAGAATTCTACTAAAATTATAAACAAAAAATAACAATATTATTTTATTTAATTAAAGATATCACTTTGTATAAACTCAAATAAATAAATAAAATTGTTGAAATTTATATTAGTTTAGTCTAATTATAGGGTTAGAGAGGACAACCGAAGGATGAAGGGATTAGTTAGTGGTGTTAATGATTAAATATAGAGATCAAATTAACAAAAGAAATTAGTTTCAAAGTAAATAATATTATTACTAGACAGACGCAGCAATGATCAGAGGCCTTTCGCCGATATGATTATATCACTAATTTAATGGACTAATGACATTATTATTGTGATCCTTTAGGAGTAGCCACTACAAGTTTTTGCTTTTTTTGTTTCCACAGTAGCAATCGTCTGGTCTTCTCCCTGTTTATTTCATGGAGAGGTACAGTCCCAGTTAGCTGTCCCCGACGAGTAAGGACTAAAGTTGACCTAGTGTTTGTTCCTGGAGGCGTGTAGAAGCATTGGGTTGACAGGTGTGAAAGGTCAAGTTCTATGGCCCATTCTGAATCCGAAACAGCAATGAATGGCATGGAAGTGTAGACTCGTTCATCGAGCAGGTTTTAATGGATCCTCTGTTGGAGTGCTGTTGTCGCAAGACTCTTGCATGCTCTCATGTTCTCGCTCCATGAAAAGATCTTGTCTCTTATCAAGACTGCAGTGGACTGCCGAGCTATCTCCCGTGAGCACATATGGTGAACCGAGTGCAGGTTTAATCACTGTACATTTAATAATCATGCCTTCCAAACTTGGGACGTCATGATTTTAATTTCTCGTGTCAGCGGACATCATCACTATGCAGGGCTTACATGCCATCGAAGCCGCAAGCGCAGCACAAACGCTAACGCACCGTTGGAAATAGATGAGAAGAAGATTACTATGAATTCTAGTTGCGTTCCGAGCTGGGATGCAATCATGTCTACAAGAAAACGGACCTCTTCTTCTTCTCTGATCCAACTCGCCACATGTAGCTGTGCGAGAAGGTTCCAAACGGAGGGGGAATGATCGATTGGGTTGATCCCTGAGGAGTCATCATCATCTTCTTCTTCCTCCTCCTCCTTCCACCACTGGCACACTCCATTACACAGCTCTAAGCCACAGGGATTCCTTCACGAGAGCACAGGTTCCCATCTCCCTCGTCATCCACACCCCTCCTCACCGAGAAGGACATCAATGTCCCCTCCACGTGTCTCTTTGTTGGGTCTACATCAGCTCACATATTTATTTAAATCTCAATCTAATTAGTATTATAATCGATATACTGAGAATACATTTATCATTTATGAATAATTAATAGAAAATAAATATATTATACAATTGATTACTTCATCTAAAGGCTTAAATGGACACAAAATACAATCGATCTTTTTGCTAATATTTTGATTTAAAAATAACTACAATTTAATTGCATGGTACATTCCGACTTCTGAAAAATTAAATTAAAAACAAAAGTGACAATTTTATTCATGCTTTAAGAAGGGAAAGACAAGAAGAAGAAAAAGTTTACCGACACTGAGTGAGTCATTTTCGCTTTATCTGTTCCCCAAGCTTTGAGGTCAAAAGGTCAACCACCAGAAAAGAAGGCGAAGAAGACAAGTCATTAGATTAGAGAAGAAGGAAGGAAGAGAGAGAGAGAGAGAGAGAGAGAGAAGAAGAAGCAGAAGAAGTGGTTCGAGAATGGAGTGGGAGTGAGGCTTGGTCAACATGCACACAGGGGCAGGTGGTCAACGGGAAATGTCCAGTTTGGGAGAGTGCCCTAACTGCTCCATCTCCCAACTCAGCTTCGGTGCACCTCCATCATGCGTCGGCACGTACTCCTGCTTGAAACCAAACGCTTTCCTTGAACCAGCTTGAATCATGCAGATTACCTTCTGCCACAAATTGGCAGAAGAGCAAGAAGAACAGTAGTGCCAAGAAGACGAGCAAGCAAGCAGTTCCGTACCTCGAGCTTCGACAGTAGCTCATGGGCAGTTTGTGAGGAGATGATGATATGACGCGCGGCGGGCGCAATGAATCCCTCGTCCACGGCCTTGTCGATGAAGGAGAGCAGGGAGTTGTAGTAGCCATCAACGTTCAGCAAGCCTACCTGTGCAGCAGCAACAAATCATATGTATGTATGGATGCATGTTAGCGTTAATGGAATGAAAGTAGATAAAGGAATTAACGGAGGTTTACCGGCTTGTCGTGGATCCCTAGTTGAGCCCAGGTTATGGCTTCGAGGAGTTCTTCCAGGGTTCCATAGCCACCTGTATGGTTAATCACATGAAGAACCAAGCAACTCAAAGACACTCAGCATGAGGTCAAAATTAACGGTAGAATATCTATCTAAAGAAAAGCTACTACAGTAAAGATGATGATCTAGAAGAGATGAATTACCAGGCAATGCTATGAAGGCATCAGCTTGGCGAGCCATTTCGGCCTTCCTTTGGTGCATCCCTGAGACAGGCCTCAACTCTCCTACAGTCTCTCCTGTAATCTGCAGGTCCCCAAACTTATCAGTCATGCTTCCACTAGTAATTAGTTCGTCAAAAGATTCCGAAAACTGTAGATAAGAAGCTTGAGACACAGACAGACAGACATACCTCTCTGGGCATTAGGGTCCTGGGAATAACTCTGCAGCATATCCACATATCATGGATGAGTATATATATGTGAGAGAGAGAGAGAGGGAGAGAGAGAGAGAGAGAGAGAGAGACCCCAAGACATGGCGGCCGCCATCATGAACAGCTCGAGAGACAAGACCCATGAGGCCAATACTTCCCCCACCATAGACCAAGTCTATGTTCCTTTGGACCTGCAGAACAGAGCATTATTCCTCGCATCAGACCCCAAATAGCAAAAAAGAGGAGATGGCCAGCTTCTGCTCTAAGAATCTTCAATTGAGAAGAAGAATCGATCAAGACACAGTTAGGAAGACGCACCAGTTCATGGCCGAGCTGGGTTGCTGCAAGCTGGTAGCTTGCCTTCTTCCCAGGGCTGCTGCCACAGAAGACGCAGACCCTTCCGAACCGAGATGTGGATGGCCTCTTGGCCATCACATCCTGTGCCTCAGCTTCCATCGAAGCACCGAGGGAAGCTGTGAGTTGTGCTCTGAGAGAAGACACCCGCAGCTTGTTTGGCAGTGGTTTCTTCCCTTTCCCTCACCCTTTTCTCCATTTAAAGGCTTGAAAAGGGAACGCATGGACACAGTGGAGATAAGAAGGCATGTAATATGGAAATAGTAGCAGATATTGGCCAATGAGAAGCTGGAATATGGTTCTTCCTTGGTTGACAGTCAACAACATGGCTTCTTCCCATTCTCTTCTTCTTTCTTTACCTTCTTGGTTTCTCATGCAGTCAGAGCTGAGCGAAAACATTTCTCAGATGATATTACATAGAAAACATCCAGACGTGGTCTCACCATTGGAACGAGTTCAATCCACGTGAATGGTTAATATAAATCCGGTATCCCATGGCTGATCCCATCCATACGAGTCATGGATATTCTACATTGTATCCTTGACCATCATAAAGCAGTTTTATGTTAATAGATATAATATTATATGTATATCTTTATATATATATATATATATATATATATATATATATATATATATATATATATATATATATATATATATATATATATATATATA